ACCTGCCATACGTTTGAACTTTCTAGATACATCTTTGGCATAACACATTGCGAAATTATTTTCGTAGTTTTTTTTCTCGTAAATTGCACGAAAGTTTGTGTACGAATGTTTATAATTCGTAATATCTACGAACGTTTTCAAGTTTGCGAAAAATTTCGTGGTTTTGAGTCAGGAAGATTCGTGTATTTGACGAGATTTCTACGCATTTCTTCGTAGCAAAATCCATCCATACATCCATATACGAAAATAATTTCGCAGTGTACACTGCATAGTGATTACATACGTTCGATTTATGTGGACCCCGCTTATTACAAATCGCATGATATAGAGAATTTGTATTGTGAGCAATACAGGGCTGAGTGAATGATTCGATGATGAGCGATGCGTTATTAAAATCTCATTGGCTCCCAGCGCAGTCAAAGACCACGGTCAAACACTTAGATAAAATAGGCCCCTGGATAGAAACATTCCAGAATTCAAGCAAGCGATATCGTTTCCAATTTAAGTGAATTCGGTTTTCAATTAAACGATTTAATGTCGCATGCCGTAAATGCGTAATATGAATCTTAATTCATAAAATCTTTGAATTATGTGAATATTTGGATTTTTACTTCCTTCTATTGATCTACGCTTCGTTCAATATACCGATAAAAGTAGCTATTATTATCTCGTCTCTTTATTAGCAAAGCGACATTGTCACAGCTAAAATAAAACAAAATTAACATTTCCAACGAAATACGTGGGATACGTAATTTTCATACATTTTTGTGTATCAAGTACGGCTGAGCTAATCGGGGCTTCCGATCTAAGGGCTAACCACGGTTTTAAAAATAACCAATAATGACCGACTTTAACATTTTTTATCATTTAAAGAAATAAATTCCGATATGATCACATTTTGGTCGATTTTGTCCGATTTTTGCAGTAATTTTTTCGCTTTAACGAATGCATACTGTTCTAGAAGCGGGTTTTGGTGCATCCGCAGGATCGTTTAGAACTGCTCCCGATTCTGGAAGTGGGTTTTGGTGGATCTTCAGGATGGACCAGACTGGGTTCGACAATGCCCTGGTCCATCCTGAGGATCCACTTCCAGAACCGGGAGCAGTACTAAACGATCCTGAGGATCCACCAAAACCCACTTCCAGAATTTTTGAATCGGTAATGACGTCAGCACATTAAACGTTTATAGTCGATATTAAACGATAAAAATCAATATATACAGATTTTTTCAATTTTTTATGGATGTCATTAAAATTGGGCGATAAAAACAGATTTTGTCAATAAAAAATCCGTGGTTAGCCCCTAGCTTCCTATCTGCTGTTAACTATGGCAAATCAACACAAGTAAAATATTCTTGACGAACAGACTACCGAAGTTTCGAAGCTAGGGGGATTTCTCACGAAGAAAATGAATGAATTCTTATAAATTTTGAAAAATTTCTTCAATTCGGTCCGATTCGATCAATTTTTGTCAATTCGTGTAAATAAATGTACATTTACACTGAACTTTTGAATTATGCTTCAATGAAATTGTTCTGGAAGTGGGTTTTGGTGGATCTCAAGGATCGTTCAGAACTGCTCCCGGTTCTGGAGGTGGATCTTCAGGATGGGCCAGGGCAATGTCAAACCGGATCTGGTCCATCCTGAGGATCCACCAAAACCCACTTCCAGAATCGGGAGCAGTTCTGAACGATCCTGAGGATCCTCCAAAACCCACTTCCAGAACACTTTTATTCAAGCAGAATCGTCATTTCAGTACATTTTCATAATAAAAAAGAAGAAATAATAGAAATTTTTGCACATTTGCTCAAACTTTTTGTGTGAGAAATCCCCCTAGTTTTGAAGGCAACACCCAATTTTAATCTCACATTGTTTTTTTTTTAGTAAACTGAAGCTTTATCAATGAATGTTATATGTTGAATCATTTCGTTAATGAATTGGAGGAGAAATGCAGTAAGGAAAGAGTGGACGGATCTCAGCCGAGCCAGCAAATCTTTCTGATAATTTCATACGGTGTCAACTTTTGTTTACACAAAATACATACGTGTTTGAAATTAGTTTATACACATTGCAATACTTGATTCGTGTTTGCTCTGAAGTTTTATCAGTTATGCAAGCAGTTTCATTCCGTTGCTGTCAGAGAATGTTTGGGCAAACAAGCACTTGTCCAAAATTCAGAATTTCTGAATTTATCACAAGAATATTTCGAAGGAGAGGTAAGAATATTTCGTTCATCTCCAAAATGAATCAATAATTGAAATTCTTCATAAAAAATATTGTCATTTCATAGGATTCATTGCCGCTGAAGTGGCTGGCTCTTGAATCTCTACGCTTTCTAGTGTTCAATAGAAAAACCGATGTTGGGCCTTGGTGTACTTCTATCAGAGCTGTTTTCACTTGGAGAAGTGCCATATCCTGATATAGAAAACGACAAAATCTTATTTGACGAGTTGAAAAAAGGCTACCGAATGTCCAAACCAGACTATGCCACAGGATATATGTGTGTAATAATGATTCAAAACGGCCAATGGTTTTGATATACTTACATTTTTCAGATACGGTATCATGTGTTCTTGTTGGGATGAAGATCCTGAATCACGCCCATCATTCGATGAATTAGCTGAGATGATTTCGATGAGTGTAGAGAGAAGTTTCACACAGCGATTTATCGAATTAAATGTTCCACTTTTGGAAGCGAACTCAAATGATCTTCAATCTGACCGGGTTGATTACATAGGCATGATGAGCAATTGCGACTATCAAGCTGTAAAAACAACCAGTCTTTTGAATCATCAAATGAGACAGCAGCAAAACTCAGCTGAATCAGAGTATTTGACCATGAACTCGTTGACAGACCTCAATCGAATCAATTTAAAATGATATTAACATTGACATTGACAATATATTATTCAAGATAAGAGAATAAAATGATTGTTTGTTTATTGTTTTTAAACCTATGTTTTCTTAGAGAGCTATCAATACCACATAGCCATATTTAAAAATCGAACTTATGTAGCACTTGCCGTGATGTCTTCATAAATAAGAAAAAAATTCCATTTTAATATCCGTATGAAAACTCAACTTTCATTACACTTCATTGCAGGCTCAAATTTTTCCAATATGCTATCTCAATGTATTACGTGTAAAAGAAATGTGACACAAGCAATATCGCTATGATTGACTTGAAATGTTGCAATTAATGTGATTACGCACATCAAAATTGACAACATTGCGATCAAATTGGTAAATTGTACAATGTTAGAGTTCATTACGATATTTGAAGCGGCACGACAAAAGATTTAAGATGCATCATTTTTTTTTTATTCATATAGAGTTGTTGTTGACCCTATGTTGAAAAATGTGGTGGTGAAAGGTTGAAATAAATGCGTTTGGACTTTTTTTGTGGATTGGACTGTCCATATTCATAAGTCAATATGAGGTTAAATTTTCATCTTTAATTTTTTCTGAGTTGTCAATTTTGATGTGCGTCATTACGTTAATTGCAACTTTTCAAGTTAATTGCAATGATATTACTTGCATCACATCTCTTTTACATGTGCAAATATTTAACACATTGAGATAGTATATTTTAAAAAAAGAAGCCTGCAATAAAGAAACGGTTCTAATGAGTTTTCATGCGGATATTAAAATGGAAAAATTTACTCATTTATTGTCAATAGAGAGAACAAAACCAGCGATGGTGACTGCTATATAAATGCGAATCAAATTATGTCTTTCATTTTCTGTTGAACAGCGAAAACATCGCATGAAAAATCTTTTTCGAAATATTCTTTGAAAAAAAGCAATTTGCGATGGCACGATTAATTATTTTGGTCGTACTGGCCGTAACATTAGTGGGTGTAGAATGGTTCTTCAAAACTTGAAAAGGAGATTTGAAACTAATTTAATTATTGTATTGTTTTTCTCTCTTCAAATTTCTTTGACAGGCTTTTGTTCTCGGCGACGATTCTGATGAAAGTGAATATACTTCATATGTGTCAATGAGTAAGAGAGTTAAAATGCCTGATGTTAAGATTCCATGGCGACGGATTCCAAAATACATTCTATGTAGCGAACACAAATTTCTTGACAAGTACGTAGCAAAGCTCGAAGATAAATTGTATTTCAATTTTTGTATGTTTAAGATACTGGAAAAAATCTCATAGATTTAAAATGAATTAAAACATTCTAAATCATAGATGCCGTGTTACGAACTTTTACATGGATCCAGAGGACATGATGATCGATGATGATAACGAAGCCATGATCAAAATTAATACCATTGTCAGGCGTATTAATGAAGTCAGCGATAAATTTACGACCGCCCAGAAGAGAGGAAAATATAACAATTTTGGATCGTGAGTTCATTGAAACGTTCGAAGCTAATGAACCCATCTTTTATCTTTTATCTTTTTTTTCTATTTCCAAATTTATATAATCATTTGTTTCTACAGCGATATGAGCACGTTCGAAGGTTTCGCCGCAGAATTATTGAAGATTGATCAAGATCTGTAAGAGTGGTCGTACAATTTGAATTAAATCGATATTTAAAATGAATTCGTATATTATCACGCAGGAATGCTTCCGGCGAAGAGAACCATGATGGTCCATTAATTTTGGCGGTTTGCAGGGATATGTACAGTATTTTAAGCTTCATGGCGACTGCTGATAAACTTTCCCCTGCAAAACCGTCTCAAAATCAAGAAAATAGAGGTAGACAGGCTGTTATCCTTTGAAATAAATAGTGGTGTACTATTATTTTCTTAATTTATTCCATTTTCACACAGTAAAAGCACTGCTAAAACAGGGAAAATATCTCGAAGCGAAGACAAAGATTACAGAAATTCTCAAAACTACCCCAGTTAAAAGTGATGTTGTCTCTGAACTATTACTCGATCGTGCTATCGCCAACTCAGAAACCCGATTCTGTCGTGAAGCAATTGAAGATGCCACCAATGCGATGAAAGACAGCCGCCTTCACTCGAAGTGCTTGGAAATTCGTGCAAAATGCTACATGTCGATGCGTAAATTCCAAGATGCAGTCAC